ACTAGCCTACCTGGTTGCAACTTTAATGTGGGTACTAAAGCTATAAAGTAAAATGTGATAGGATGGATCCACAATGTTTAAAAAGGAGTGATATTGTACAAAATGGGTGAAAGGGTGAAGATCACCATGCAGTGCTAGAACCTCAATCCAGTTTAGAGGTCTTAATGTTCACTTATAATCAGGTGATAAATATATGAATGGTTCATTCTTTGGTGTGCTTAAGATTTCTTCTACCACCAGTTCAAACTATTATGTCAAAGTCAATAAATGATTTTCATACAGCCTCCCTTCTTTGTCCTATTCCACAGTAGGAACTGTGGTGTAAATTTCATGTTCTCCATAAAACAGAGCAATTATTGGCAAGACACACAAATCAGAGAGACAATTACATACCAGTTACTACATTCTTGTTCAATTGTTGAACCTACAGGGAAAGCTGTCCCATGATAAACACATGGGCAATCTGATGCAGAAATACAAGTTCCATTGTCCATTATAAGGCCTAGTTTGTAAAAATAAAAAGGTTGCAAAAATGTAAAGAAATCACAATATATAAGATAGTACATGTTAAATATGTACAAAGTATAGCTCAGAGTGAAGTTAAATAATTATGTAATGAATTACCCAGTCTGCATCTGATACTGTCAATGGATATTCCTTCAAATCTAAATGAGATGAAATAGTGGCCTTACTACTGCATACTACAATAAACTCTTGCAGAGACTGATGGAAAGAGGTCTGGAAAGCTGAACTAAGAATAGAATATAATGGTCTGTATTTCAGTTCATTTCTTATTTATTAGTAATGTTTTAAGAAAAACCACATTTAATAAAAATTTAATTCCTTAAAAACTATGGTAAATTCTAAAGATATAAGACAAATAGTTCTTTGCTAGACAGAAACTTTATTATTAAAATAATTCATCTGATGAAAGTTCACTTACCATCTGGGCAATAGCATCCATCTAAGCAATGGAGATTACTACCTAGACAGTCTTTCTCAAAAGTACAGGTTGGTGGACAACAGCTAATACAATCCCGGTGAATAAAAGTATCTTCACAACTGTCAGCTAAAATAATAAGTTAGGTAATAATGATTATACTCCAGTATACTTCACTTTAATGAGAAAAAGTATGCATTATTTTCTTTTAAAAATGATGGTTAAATATATAAATAACTTTCTAAATTAAGATTTTACTTTGCCAAAGCCATCAAATTTAGAATAAAGAATCTATATATTAAGTCTTAGTAAGATGAATATTAAGACACAGAAATGTACATGTTTATAATTAAAAATAATAGCACACATTAAGTCAAGTCAATGTTTATTATAGTCAGAGACCAGAGACACAAAAAAGACACCCTGAAATTTAAATCATTTTGAGACTTATGAAGAGTTATATATAAAACTTTTTAAAAGTTTAAAAATGCTGTTGAGTTTATATAGCTTATTTAACATGACCCTGAATCATTTTCATACCCTGAAATGTTCTGGTTATGAAGCAAAATTTTAAAATATGTAGGACTGTTGATTAAAGTGGTTCCATTCTTTTGTAGAACAGTTGCAATATGCTACCCATTACAGTCCAGTGATTTAATATATTAAATAAATATTTTTGCTTTTGTTTAACATCATGAAACTAATTTTTGATTGATCAAAGTAATAAAACGCACTTACTACAGGCTGGAAAGTCATCTCTCCAATCTCTAATAGGATAGCCTACATGTGAACATGAGCGAGCATATTCTGTTACTGCTCGGCAATAGGTTTCATCATCATCCTTTCTGAAACAGCAAAATGAAACTTCTGGTTAGTTATTGTACATGCTTATGTATTGATTATTCACTTTTCACTAAGTATAATAAATGTGTTAAATAAGTTAAGATTCCAGCAGAGATTTATAGCAAATTTCAGCCATCATTGAGCTGAGATAGCCCTAAAGAAGGACAAGCTTTACAAGTTGGAGGGCTGCTGATGCTTTAGAGATACTGTAAGAGAAGTCACTTAAAACTGTACTATTGCAGCATCTGAAAATCAAGAGAGCACTCTTTAAGTTTAACCCAAAGATTATTTTTCAAAAGGCATCTGGGCTTTCTTTGTTTTTGCTTGAAGACATTCCGCTTTTCATCCAAGAGAATCTCCATAAACATCTTAAGTTTAAACTATCTCTGCAAAGTTAGACTAATTTCTAATTTCAAAAGAAAGATTGAGTACTTCAACTATACACCTCAAAAAGCAATTCTTAATGGAGTTTTATTCAAAGACAACTATATTCTTGTCTAGTATGCCAGAGCAGTAACCTACGATCTAAAACTATAATGAAAGTAAAAGAAAATTCTTAGGAATAAAAATTATTTGAAAAGACAATATATTATTAAAAATCTAATTTTAAAACCAATTTGTTTTTGATAATAGATTTGGTTGTAATGAAAGCTTCAAGAAAAAAACCCTCCCTCATTTATGTTCGAAGTATAGCTTCCCCAAATATGGATAGTCACAAAAGACAAATGTAGCTATGTTTTTATTTCAGATCTTTTCCCTACATAAAGAGGTTGTGAGGCATATATGTGTGTGTGTGTGTGTGTGCGTGTGTGTGTGTATTTTTCTTTGCAACTGAATGACAGGGAAGATCAAAAGAGAAAAATGAAAAAGAAGTGAAAGAAAATGTTTAAAACTGTCTCATTCCAAAAAAAGGTAAGCAGAATCAAACAAAAAGTATTACTTGTTAAAGAACAGAACCCAGTGTTAATACTGAGGACTTTTGAGAGGCTAATTCTTGGACAACAAAACTGAAAACCTATAAGACTTAAACCTGGGCTATATATAATATAATTTATGTATATTAGCTTGGATCTTATTTACCTATTAATGATTAATTAACCAATGTTAATTAAATGGAAGAATTAACAAACATTGTTATATTGTCTATATTCACTAACAGTCATTAAATGTTTCAGAAAAATGAGTATTGGTTCTGTTTAGGTAAGTACCAGCACAGAAAATAAATTTATTAATCAAAATCCACATAGAAAATCCACTAGGAAATGTAATCCTCCTCTGAAAATTGGCCTTTGGAATCATCTTAACCAGGAAAGGAGAGTATTACCTTTCAGTCCACATTTTTCCAATATCTGGTTTACAAAACCACTCATTGCTTTTTCCTTGCATTGTGAAGGGAAGCCCAGGTTCAAGCCCATCTTCAACCACAGAACATATAACTTTGAACCAGTCATTTTTCGCAATCAAATCTAGCCCACAGGTTATTGAGACACAGACATCAATTCTGAATCACAAGGATACCAAAAAGATTAAGGGTGCATTGTGGCACGACAGTGCAAGCTCTGCCCTTTTGTATTATGAGTTGCACACAAAAGGGAGGACTTTGTATCACAATTGCCACATTTTATCAGCTTACCCTTACAGATGACTATCATTTTGGGGGGGAAAGTTGGAGGAAGGAGAACTGTGATACACAGGGAGGGAGGGAGGGAATAACTAAACTAGCACTAAACTAGGAATACTTTGGAAGTAATTCATTTCCAGCTATTCTGTTGCAAGTCAAGAGGCCATTTCTTTCACTCTTACTGTAGTTAACAGACATTACAGTAGATGTGTTCCTCTGTGTTAGAGTAGAGAAAGGCAAAATAACAATAATGATGACTAATAAGCCTGCAAAACAAAATAAAAAAGTATATTCAGCTTACCTACATAGGTCATTCATGCAGCTGGAAATGTAGGGATAAGGATCTATGCTTTGATGACAACTTAGAAAAGGAAAGTGCAGGAGTATTTGGCACTTGAAGTAGATACTCTATATGTAGAATGAAAATTGTATTGAGATATATACATACCTACATATATATATATAATTAAACATGCAAAAAATTCGAGTGGCATGTTGGCCTAGTGGTGAAAGCTCTCTCTTCCCACTCAGAAAGTTGAGAGTTCAAGCCTAGGTAGTGGCTGATGTTTCTCTCCTAGGGTGCAAAAAAAAAAAAAATCTGCTGCGAACTGCATGGTGTGAGAAAGGCCATCCAGCCAGCAAATGCTTAGCTCCATCCAGTCGCCTCAACTCTACCCCAAATTAAGGGATTACGGGGTCGTAAAAGGGAGTTTAAACATGCAAAATATTCCCTCCCATCCAAGGATATTATATTTATAAACCTAACCTAATAACTCTTTTAAATGCCAGTAGACTTTTTATTATATCAGTTGTGTTTCTTGTAGAGATATGACCTGAACTATCCTGTGTACATTGCCGAAACAGAATGCAAGATGTTCTGTGAGATACTTCCGACTCTAGTGTGTCATTCCTCATAGGTCAAAGACGGTCCCTCCAACCTTCCAAGTACGTTTTTCAAGGGGAAAGAAGAGAAAAGCTGCTCCCCAAAACTTTCTTTTACTTGTGTCTCTTGAAATCAAGGCCCATAAAAATAAATATTTTATACTAAATTGCAACCTAAACTGCTTACCTCGTAAGATTCTGTATCAATGTTGCAAGGACTAGGAAAACTAGATGCAATAGCTTCACAGGTTGCATCATCTGGGATTTGTATAGCCCAGCTGTTAGCAAATTTAGCTATATCTTCTGTATAGTCACCTATTTAAAAACATAAATTTTATATATAGCCCAGCATACACAATAGGATATTCAAAGTGCAGTTATTCAAATGATGGATCCCTAGATTGTAAATCATGCGTATTATGTATACTTCCTTTAAAATAGATAACATGTCTGCCATCACATCAATTTGAACCTTGACATGGAGTTATTATATTCAAAGCTGATACTAATATATCTTATTAATGTTGGACAAGACCACCTAAGAAACATCCAGTTTGAATTTTGCCATACACACAAATTCACTTCATTAGTCTTTGCAGTTTATGCCATTTCAAAACCTGTCCTTATTTGCAATAGGCAGATGATGATGATGATGATGATGATGATGATGATGATGATGATGATGATGATGATGATAATAATAATAATAATAATAATAATAATAATAATAATAATAATAATAATAATAATAATAATAATAGAGTTGGAAGGTATCTTGGAGGTCTTCTAGTCAACCCCCCTGTTCAGGCAGGAAACCCTATACCAGGGGTTGGCAACCTTGGCTCTTTTATGACTTGTGGACTTCAGCTCCCAGAATTCCTGAGTCAGCATGGCTGGTTCAGGAATTCTGGGTATTGAAGTTCACAAGTCAAAAAAGAGCCAAGGTTGCCTACCTCTGCCCTATACCATTTCAGACAAATGGTTGTCCAGTCTCTTCTTAAAACCTTCCAGCATCACAACTTCTGAAGACAGGTTGTTCCACTGATTAATTGTTCTAACTGTCAGGAAATTTCTCCTTAGTTCTAGGTTGTTTCTCTCTTTGATTAGTTTCCATTCATTGCTTCTTGCCCTGCCTTCAGATGCTTTGAAGAATAACTTGACTCCCTTTTCTTTATGGCAACCCCCTGACATATTGGAAAATTGCTATCATGTCACCTCTAGTCCTTCTCTTCATTAAACTAGACATACCCAATTCCAGCAACTGTTCTTTATGTTTTAGCCTCCATTCCCCTAATCATCTTTGTTGCTCTTCTCTGTACTCTTTCTAGAGTCTCAACATCTTTTTTACATTGTGTAATGGATGCAGTATTCCAAGTGTGGCCTTACCAAGGCGTTATAAAGTGGTATTAACACCACTGATTAAGTCATAAGAATCATAATGACATTATGAACCTTGAATACATTATATCACTGTTAAATAATTATATAGTTTTCACCTCACTTGCAAAATATATGCGATTACCATCCACAGCAGATTCAATAGCCTAGTAATATTCTCTGATGACAATTACAAATAAGTAGAATACAAGAAAATGGTTGGGTTTATCATCATATATTTTAGCATGCTTACTACTTTGTAATATGAGATCATCTGATGTGTTGTTATTATAATTTCCACAGAGACCACATGTTTTTCCCTTGTGTTCTTCTGTCAATTTAATGTAAATCCCAGAGTTTCCATCCCAAGCTAGGGAAAAGCCAAATGTAGTTTTCACCAAAATATAATTTGCTAATTTCTCAATGAAAATATTTCCAACTGTTTGGGGCAAAGACAACCTGAAAAATAAAATAAACTGTAATTTAAAGATGTCAGCTAGCTATTATCTTGCTATATTTTACCCATAAAAATATTATGTTTCTTTTTTAAAAAAGTTAATCATAGTAATATAATATTGAAATTACCTTTTTGTACATAAAATGCAACTTATAACAAATGCATTTAATTTTTTTATTTGAATCCATTTTTATTTTTATATAATACAAATATTAACATTTGTTATAATATTGTTTCAATGTTATTCAGCTAGCATCTGTGAGATTCCCTTTCTTAGCTGGTTGGCTATAATCTCACAGAATCTTGCTAGTAACCCTGAAAGGGAAAAACAGAAATTCCATTCTAGGTTTTGTGACTTCATGTCAACCAGAACTGAATATTTTCATCATCAAACTTTCACGATAAGACAAATAACTTAATAATTTTCCTCTGAATACTTTAGTTGTTTTAAGAAACATAAGAAAACATTTCAATTGTTTTTACCTGATTCTACCCTTTCTAACATCATGTCCCGATATGTGTATTTCATCCTGATTTGAAACGAACAAGCTTATTGACCGTAAACAAGAATACACTGAACCAGCACAGTGAGGACTATTATTAATCTTAAAGAGAAGAAATAGATATATAAAACATAACAATATATTTTTAAGTATGTAAAACTTATTTTATGCAATTTATTTTTCAAAAGAAGCAAACTAGAAATATTTGGAGCAGTTTTTCAATAGCATATTTAGTGTACATGTCTCTAAAGAAAAATGTATGCATATTAACATGTATAATATATGGTGGGTACATTTTCCACTATCAGATCATATGCACTCTTCAGAATTGAGGTTTCATAAAAATAGGTTTAGAAGTGTAACACCTACATTGAGATTACTCTACTGATTAGCAAGGGGGTTACAGATCCAACTCAAGGTGCCGATTTTAACCTTGAAAACTCTGCTTGGGTTGACACTTATGTGTTTAAAAGTTCAACTCTGCTTATCAGAATATTCATCTTGAATTGTCTAATAAAAATACCCACTCCATACCAGGTTAACCATTTGTGTATTTGTTATGTACGTATATTTTTGTGAAGATATGAAAGTACTAAAATGTTGTGACAGATGTTAGATGTTAGATGATAGGTGATAGATGATTGATGATAATAAGACAGACAAACAGACAGATAGATAGATCTATTACTAATTAGAACATGATTAAATTTGCTGCCAACCTAAAACAGTTATTCAATAATACTGTTACATGCAGTCTTAATGCAACCTTAAACTTTTTTGCTATAGGAAACATGGCTTTAGAATGGGCTTTACTATTGTTCTTGCTAAGCAATCGGATAAAATATGCCCTTACACCAGTAATTCAGGGAATATCAAAATAGTATTATGAACATTAATCTGAGGATTTTAAATATGTGTGCTTTCTAATTTCAGAACTTCAAAATTCTTTGATCATCATTTGATTCAATGCTGATTCTGATCTCATTTTTTATTAATCTTCACATAAGATATTCTATGGCAATATAGAATATATTAATATTTCAAAAAACTAATAATGCTGAATTCACATGATGAAAAGAAAAAAACAATGAGTGTAATAGTTCAGCCTAGAGTAGTAGAATCAACTAATTGGCATCCAGGAGTAGTAAGGAAAACTACAGACAGCCATTTTATCATCTGCAATCATCTGCAATCTATTAGGGAATATCTGAATGGATTTATGTGCCCCTCAGTAAGGAAATCTTCTGGTACCTTTTTCTTGTAAAAATGTTTGTGTGGTTGAAAACCTTATAGATAATACACCTATCTTTCCAATCTACTAGATAAATGTAGGCTATTAAATCCCTGTCATCTACCTAATGTATTCAAAATTAGATCTAGCAGTAACAAAATTCTATCAAATCCATATGAAGGTTACAAAATGAAACGCGTATAAGAATTCAGACCAATGTCTAGGGATTATGGGTAATGAAAATATTTCTATAATATATTATAGAATATTTCTATAATATTAGAAACAATATTGACTAATATAATTAAAGTATACTTATCACTTCCCCAATTTCCTATCCTTTGGCTGCCTGGAATGCTTTTTGATCTCAGAACCAAATAATTGTTAATTGGTCAATGAATGGAATCATGAACACAAACTGAACCACAGAATAGTAAGTGAACAAAGAACAGAAATAATTCTTTCTCTTTCCATATCATAATCTAAACCAGCTTAGTTACACAGTACAGAGGAATCTCTTACATAATTGACAGAAAAGAGCCTGCTCTTTTCAGATCCCTTTTGACCCAATTTCAAATCTTACCCACACAGTGTACTGAGGTTCTGGATCACTGCAATCTTTCACAAAAATATATGAACAGTTTCCTGGGAAGTAGTAGTAGATGCCATCAAATGTTTCAAAGTGGTATTGCCCCCATGATTTGCAAATCCCACCTCTGTCTTTGCCAATGTTTGGAACTAAAGAAAACAAACATACTTGTTTGCAAGCCATGCCAGCAGAAACAATCATTTCAGATGAGTGTTGCCCATTCCAAAGATATTCATCATATTATGTTGTAAAAAAAAAAACCAAACACATGAAACATCACAATTAAATCAGATGTTTAAAAAGAACCTATGGATGGAAATTTAAATAAATAAAAATAAAGTAAGGAAACTCGATAAAATATGCTCTGAAGACAAATTAAAGTATAACTAGATAATGTTATAACTATATTAACTTCCTGACTATTTCCTGCAGTAGCTGTCTTTCTCAAAAGAGCTGGCATCTTTTCACCTTGCTTCTTCAGGAATATTGCAATGACATGAAAACACTGGTGCATGAAAAAATAGTGAAGATTATCTATGCAAATTGAGCTTTTTCAGAATTAAATTGGAATTTATTCTAAGCAGAGGCTTTTGCAAGAATGTTGCAAAAATGTTAAAATTATGAAAGCTTGTCACCACAAACAGTATAGTACCATGGTACCACAAACCCTTCTGTCTTGTATGTGAGTGTGGCATCACAATATAAATAATAAGGGACCAGGCTTGCATGACAGCAAGCAATTTCCATTCCTCTATGGATGCATCTGCTAGTAAAATGAATGATGAATGTAGCAAATGCGGTACTATTGTTTTATATATAGCTAATCTCGGAGTCTAAAGATGAAGGAGTGGGAACCATGGACAACTATTTTGAATATGATTTCTGAGGTGTACCACTAGAATACTGCAGAAAATTTTCCAAGATGAGGATAACCTTTGACTTCTGAATTATGTGCTCGGTGGCATCTCCAAAAGAGATTGGGGACCATAACTGAAACTTAAAGATTCCATATTATTTTCTTTAATACTTGCCTGTGACAATTTCCCACTTTTATTAAATACAAATTGGTAATTATTGTAATGGTAAATCGTTGGGGACTGAGTTCAAGCTTTTGTGTTGCACACAGCCTCAGAGATTCATACTCTGCATCTGTTCAGTTACAAAGGGTTGCAGTCAGGTGGTGTGTGGGATAGCGTTGGGGAAGGAATGTAAGAGCCATTAATTCATGAAAGAGTCTGTAAATGAAAATTCAATCCTGAGAAAGTAGTAAACATACTTTAAGAGACTTAAAGTAACACCACCATGATTCTATGTGGCATTAGAGAGGGCAGAAGGAAGCTGGCAGACTTTCAAGATTCTGTAATAATTATACGTTACATAGTAAAATAGAGTTCTTTTGGTTCCTTCAGACTCTGTTTCCTGAGTTAGGCTACCTTGAAGAACTGATGTCCCAAACACTTAAAAACCCCTTTAAAGCCTTTAAAAAAAATCCTAGCAGTCTAACCAGTTAAAAGAATGTCTAGGATGATCCAGAATCACAATGACAAGTTACATTTAGGCTTAACAGTACTTACATCTTTGCAAAATTGAATTCTTAAAATATGAGATTGAATCCTTTTGCAATATACCTATGATAAAAGTGCTTCATACCTTCTCATGGAACTTACTGATTTGGCAGCGCTGTCCCTGTGCCTGAAATGTCTCGCAGTCACAAACTCCTGTCTTTGTGCAAACTGCTCCATTAAGACAATCTTGAGAACAAGAAGCTTCATAAAAAAAGACAGGTGTCAATAAGGGTTCAGTTTAGAGGAATTTCTTAAGCAGGCACTGGTACCTCCCAGACCAGTTTCATTTCTACACATCCAAGGAATGATTGGTTGAGAAAGATTGCCCAAAATAAATATACATCATCCTACAACTAGCTTTCTGTTATTCTTCTCCATATAAGCTGCTTAAATTTGTTCTTTCTTCTTAAAAAATTTTATTTCTGCAAAAATCCACAATTCATAAATTAATTCTTTATCACAATTAAGGTGAAACACATATTTAGTTCCTTTTTTAACATCTGGGAAAGTTCTCTCAGAAATGAATTCTTAAAAAGCATTTTTCATCCAAAGATAAAAATATAATCCTATATGGATCATGCAGCTGTGTATAAATTTCTAAATGAAATGTCTAAGCCAGCAATTTGGAATAACCAGCAAAGATGCAATAAAAAAAATTGGCTTTATCATAGCAGACAGAGATACTGGAAATAGAATGTAACTGGTTGATGAGTTTGTGAAAAAATCAGTTTTAACCCCCACCCCCCACCCCCAGTTTAATGGATTGATAAATATTGATGCATTTTATTATACTCCCTGTTTACCTTCTGACTTGGAACACAAGTCAGTGACTGTTTTTTTTTAATTTCTTAACCCATAAGCAAATAAATACTCACTGGGAAATACACCTGGCCCCCTAGTATAGTGTCACATTCTTTCTTATCATATTAAAGAAAAAATCTGTTCCAGTTTATTTATTGTATGTATGTGGAATCAAAGGAAGCTACCTTATTCTTTTCCTCTGTTCTGAAATTGGGTTTGATCTGCCATGTCAATGAACCACCTATTTTTGCAGCATTCTTCTGACTATTAAAACAGTGAACTTGGCAAATATTCACATTAACAGCTGTGGAAAAAACATAGCAGTTGTACAAATATATTTAATTATAGTTAGCTGGGTTATAAGGTTACTGACCTCTTGATGAATTTTGAGCCTGAGAAAATACATCATGAAAATCTGATGAAACAGTGGTTGTCTATGAGAAGAAGGGAGGGGAAAAAAGCAAACCACTCATGAGTATCCAAATCAAAAATAAATCAGCAAATCTTATAATTATATAAATTACAATTTAATTGTAAAACTTAATTAGTTTAAGTTTATATAAAGATTGTTCTCAGGGGAAGCTCAAAGCTCTTGATTAGTTAACAGTGAATTCAAATATAATTTCATTCAATATTAGGAAAAGAAAAGTGACTTATCAATGCTGAACACTACCAAAGTGAAGGCATTTAAAGGACACATGATTCTTACATTAACAATGAAATGTTGCTCCATAGTTGAAGTACAGATAAAAATGTAGTACAGTGGGACTCCTGAAATTTGCTGCATCAGTGAAATTTCAGTGATGTATCTTGTATTTTAACTACATTGACTAAATCTTTCAAAACCACAATTTCTGCTTATTGAATAAACCACAGTTTGCACAAAATGCTATGCCCAAAACAAGTAAACCATAATATAAATTATTACACTATAAATCCAGTCAGCATCTCCACTTAGTTGAGTAAACATTCTCTTGCAACATAACCTGCCTTGACAGCAAAATAAAGCCCTCATTGCAGGCAACAGGTCCTGGGAAAGAGCAAGTTGTGAATGTTTTATAACCTGTCCTGCATGTTCTAAGATTGTTTCCCACCCTTTTCTTGAATGGAAGAAACAATCCCATTACCAGTGTGAAGTAATACTCAAGTATCAACCACCAGGGTTGAAGGAACATTACCTATTCTAACTGAATATGGAATAAGGACACCATATTAAGTGGGTTGGTCCCGCTATAAGGCTAACCCAAATGTTTTTCCCTCTCATCTAAAAGATAAAGTAGATGAAGATTAAACTACATACACATTTAAGCTAACATGAATTTGATTTCAGAAAGTTGCTCAGTCTTCATCTACAGTGGGTATATATTTTAACACCCCTGTTAAAATGTCAGGTTCTTGAGATGTAAAATAATCAGACTAAGATAAATAATTTCAGAATTTTTCCACCTTAAATATAATTTATAACTGTACAAGCCAATTGAAAAACAAATTGAAATTGTTTAGTAAGGAAAAAATAAAAAACAAAAAACAAAAATAATGTGGTTGCATAACTGTTCATACCCTCTTACAAGAAGGAATGTGACTATGAAGTTCATGTGATCTGGTAGGATTTTTCTGACATTTACTCTGAAAAGCCGATTGCTTCTTAAAGCAAAAGCCATCTCTGCAAAGAGCTTACAAAGCATCAAAGGATTCTCATTGTTGGAAGGTATCAGTCTGGAGAAGGAAATACAAAATTTCCAAGGCTTTGGCTATACCATGGAACACAGTGAAGACAATCATCAACAAGTGGAGAAAATATGGCATAACAGTGACATTATAAAGAAGTAGATGTCCCTCCAAAATTGATGAAAAAACAAGACGAAAACTGGTGTAAGAAGCTACCAAGAGGCCTACACAACATTGAAGGAGCTGCAGGAATTCCTGGCAAATACTGGTTGTGTGCTAAATGTGATAACAATCTCCCATATTCTTCATATGCGGGGTAGGTGGCAAGACAGAAGCCTTTTCTTTAGAGAAAAACATCCAAGCCTGGCTACTTTTTGCAAAACCTTATATCAAGTCTGACAAAAGCATGTGGGAGAATGTGTCCTGGTCTGATGAGACTAAGGTTGAACTTTTCGGCCATAATTACAAAAAGTATGTTTGGTGCAAAAACAACACTGCACATCATCAAAAGTACACCATACCCCAGTGAAGCATAGTGATGGCAGCATTGGGGCTGTTTTTCTTAGCTGGAACTGGGGCTTTAGTCAAGGTGGAAGGAATTATGAATTATGAACAAACAATCAATCAATTTTGGCACAAAACCTTCAGGCCTCTGCTCAAATGTTGAACAGGAATTTAATCTTGCAGCATGACAAGTCCCAAAGCATACTTCCAAATCAACAAAAGGATGTATTTACCAAAAGAAGATCGAAGTTTTGGAATGATCCAAAATTGGTTCCAGCTGAATCCAATTTAAAATCTATTGGGTAATCTAAAGAGGGCTGTGCATAAGAAATGCCCTCCCCCTCTGACAGATTTGGAGCACTTTTGCAAGGAACAGTGAGCAAAGATTCCGAAGGCGAGATGTGCCATGCTGACAGATTCCTACCCCAAACAATTGAATGCTGCCATAAAATCAAAAGGTCCTGCAACAAAGTATTAGTTTAAGGGTGTGCATCTTTATGCAACCACGTTATTGTGAGTTTTTGTATTGTTATTTGCCCCCCACTTGTACAGCTTATATGTTAAAGGAGGACAGAATTCTGAAGTGATTAATCTTGGTCTGATTTTTTTACATCTCAAAAGCCTGGCATTTTAACAGGAGTGTATAGACCTTTTGTATCCACTGTACCTCAGATTAAATGAGACCCAAAGATTTTTCAGAAGTATAACATCTGTTTGTGGGAATCTATTGTGGAACAGATAGAACTGTCACATCTGAAAGAGAGCTCATCTACGGTTTCCCAATTGTGCATTTTGCAAAGCACCAACAAAATTTCAGGTCCTTTTTTTCTACACCTTTTTTCTACTGCGCGTCACTTAATGCATTAGGGTGATTAATAAGCTATTTACCAAGAATGAATGGACAGTTAAATGTAGGTTTGCATTTTGAGAATTACAAGAAAATAGGTACATTATGGAAAAACTACTCCACTCATTCCTGCCGTGATATTCGTGATATTCGCATTTCCATTCTGTTTTACAAAGACTTCATTGTAGGGATAGCAAGCACCCCTTGTTGGCAAATGGGTGTGTGTGTGTGTGTGTATGTGCCTTTTCTCTTCTTCCTTTTGAGGTATAGCCTACCTCAGCTGCTAAGAGATCTCCTTTTTGAGGAACTACAGTAAATTCATTCCTGGAAGAAAACAAAGAGAATCCTGTATAAGCAAAGGTTGTGAATAAACAGACTCCCGTGAGAGAGGTGCTTCATTCTGATTTATCTCACTTCATCAAAGGCACCTTTCTTGAGCTAAGTTTTTTTTTAAAAAAAAACAGGTAATGTGCATGTTTGTTTCCCTTTTCATCCCCTCTTTTACAAGTACAACAGATATCAATCTTTTGCTCATGGATATTAACTATAGTTAGAAATATTACCATAGAAAAATCAGTAAGAGTTGGATACATTTAATAATTGAAAAGAAATGAAAAAAATAAAAGGAATTGTTTCATTAGAATTAGAAAAAGGCAATGGGTCAATATGACAGAATCAGTGAGTTCATTAACTCACTCAAACTCAGAGTTATATATTACTACATTTTAAGCTCTGCAGGGATGTCAGGTCTGCTTATATTCTGCCCTTAATATATAAATTTCCAGGAAGAGCACTTCATGTGAGCCTGCTTCAAAAAGAATTGAAACTATAAACCAGAGGTCTTCAAACGTGGCCCTTTTATGACTTGTGGACTTCAACTCCCAGAATTCCTCTGAGGAATTCTGGGAGTTGAAGTCCACAAGTCATAAAAGGGCCAAGTTTGAAGACCCCTGCTATAAACTGTCTATGAAACTACCACATGTACAGTTACCAAATTCTATGTTGCCCAATGAAAATAAGACATAACTGGTTAGGAAATAATTACTTCTGATTTATTGATCACTTTAGATTCAACACATACTAGCTATTTTGTTTTTAGACAATATATATTTTACTTCATAGGCTGTAATGTTTGATTTGCACTTGCATAACTAATTAATGCACCATTATAGCAGTTTATGTCATATTTTTATGTGTTATTTTAACTTTGTATTTTATCTCATCTACTTGATTGTTCTTGGTGTTGTCTTTTTTTGTGAGGGGAATTTTTGCTGGTCATTGACCAGCAAAAAATTATTATCATTGTCAGGGCTATAAGTACATAACACATTCAGAACTCATACCACTAGTTTGCATATACTAACTACTGCAATTCAATTCCTCTCTCTAGTTGTATCTCTAGATGTGTAACTTGCAACAGACTAATTTTATCTCATCAATTATTTGCTGGGAATTCCTTTCCAAAAAAATCCTTAAAGTTAGTCCTCAACTTACAACCAAAATTGAACCCAAATTTCTATTGCTAAGCAAGGCAGTTAAGTAAGTTGTGTTCCATTTTACAACCTTTTTGCCACAGTTATTAAGTGAATCACTGCTGTTATTATGTATGCAGTTATTAAACTAATCTGGCTTCCCCCATTAACTTTGCTTGTCAGAAACCAGCTGGGAAGGTTACAAATGGTGATCACATGACCCTGAGACAGTGCAACTGTCATAAATATATGCCAGTGCCAAGTGCTTAAATTTTGATCATGTGACCATGGCGATGTTGTAACAGTCATAAGTGTGAAAAATGGTCATAAATTATTTTTACAGTGCTGTTGTAACTTTGAACAGTCATTAAATGAATGGTTAAAAGTGAAGGATTACCTGTATTATAACTATCAGTAAGATAAAGATTCCCTTGAGTCAATCTCAGTTCCTTGGGACTTCATGAACACTTACATTTAATTTTTTTTAGCAACAGTATGGAAGTGGCCACAGCCCTCCAGGATATAGTTTTCAACTATCCATTTTAATTGGTTGAATGTGCTAGTGGTCTCCAATCAAAATAATTAGATCGAGCCCTGCTTAACTTTTCATGATAAGCCAAGATTGCCTAATACAGGTAGTCCTACCTGTTATTAATGTTAGAACCATTGTCACCCCTAACCTTAAGGAAGCAAAGGTTTCAGGGTAATATTGGGGCTAATTATAAGATTAATAATGGGACCAGCAAAACAAAAAAATAATCTGAAAGATCCAATAACTGATTCAAATCTAAAATCAAGTTGCTCTTATTAGATATGAGCAAAGTGGGAATCAGTAATCTAAGCATACATAATCTTCCTGATTTTGTTTTTGTGCAGTTGGTATTGTAATGAAAGAACTGAGAAAAATGTAAATTTGTTTTATGGATTACTCTAGAAACAGAATAGATAATCAGCCTAAATATTCAAGTTCACATTTTCCAATATATAAAGTATTAGCAAATGCTTTTTGAATCTTGTTATGAAAATTAACAGCTTATTTTCACTATTTACTGCTTTTATCTTACTGCTTAGACTTACTGAACATATTATCTGGCTGGCCTTTATAATATTTTATGCTAAAGTCCTTCCTTCCTTCCTTCCTTCCTTCCTTCCTTCCTTCCTTCCTTCCTTCCTTCCTTACCATCAATACATTTATCATAATATTGCATTTCCTCTGTGAGCTGGCGATTTTGGGAGTTGCAACCTCAACACATTTGCATGATACCAGACTAGACATACATGACCTAAGGTAGTGTTTGTTAAAATGTGGTCCTAAAACCCCTAGAACCTCTCACGGGTTTGCAAAATCAAAGTTATTTGCCAGTCTATGTTAAAAAAAATAATACAATATTAAAATCCCATCAGTCATGAAAAGCAGTAACAGCAACAAATGCATCAATTTTCATTTTTATATGGCAAATATAAATAAATACAACTCATAAAAACAAAAGCTCTTTGGGAGTCCTCCATTATTTTTTAAAAGTGGGAAGCAGCCCTGAGTGAAAAAAAGTTTAAGAAACATACACAGATTTGAGGCAACAGCTAAGGGATCCTGTGTTTGATTTCTGGAGTCCATATTAAATAAGGCTTAACAGAAAATGCCTAGATTTTCTCAAAACATGCTACTACAATTAAGACTTTTCCTAACTGGGATTTCTCAGTTTCCAAGCAGTATCTCAAAATCATGCTCTTTCGAGTGTAAAAAGTGTGTGCCCTATAAGGATTTCTGAAATTATAAATTTGTTGTGTACATCATACAAATATCTTTGGGCAATCCTTCTCTGACACTTTATGCTTTGAAAAACACCGAAGTTATTGTAAAAGTTGTTTAAAATAGCTTAGCTTAGTTTTTTTTTAAAAAAAAAATCTTAAACTTCTAAATATTAGTACAATGTTGTGTTCCCCAACATGAATGTGTTATTATTATCAACAAACAGGAACTCAAACTCACCTTGAAGTTCTTTTCAGGAGATGTAATTCACAGATAGAGTCTATTGCATAAAAATAATGAAAATCAATCATTCTTTCTCTCTCACACTCTTCTAGAATTTATATCAATAGTCTGAGCTCTAAGGGCAGTCTTTTACTGGAGTTCAATTAGTAAAATTAAAAGATTTGGGGGTTGGTTTTT